GGTCATCCCCCGAAGGAACACATGCAAGACAGTTGAAGGAATTTGAAGGACTGAGGATAGATACATCCAAGCCAAATGGGCCTTGGGGATAGGGTTTTTAACTCGTGCCAACACCACCAAAGGAATAACTACCAGTACATTTACTGAACGATGACACACTCAGGTTTTTGAAAATGTACGTGGATAACATGCAGCAATTTGACAGAAACTTTTGTTAGATTCATCCTCTTCACTGTCAGTGCGGAGAAAAGTACAGGAATTGTACGTCAAAACAATTTTAAGAACACAACTTAGGGAGAGGGTCATTTTTCCAAGATCTTCATCGACTCTCATCTGAAAACCCGTATCGCAGATTATCATTCTAATTTCTATTAACGCAACACCCTGGTCGGAAAAGGAGCCCCTCATTTTCTTGTCTGCAACAGGTGACATTTCTGGAAGTCATGGCACTCACCATAAGTTTTGGTCTTCGAAACAGATTTTCAAACGAAGAATCAGGCAGTCCATAAATGGATCAAAAGACTTTAAGTAAATACATGTTTAAATCAAATTTTAGAGTTAAAACAATTACAACACAGACGGTTTTGTATGTTTACAGGGCTCTTCCCTATAAAAAAACAACAGTGTACCACTACCGGTATTTTCCTGTGGAATTTACCTACGTATTCATCAGATTCCTGGTAAGTCTCTCCACATCATGAGCTAAGAAAAACAGTTCTGAGCAGGCTTGTATACATGTCAGGGGAGGCCTTTAAAGCTACACAGTGGAACGACCTTACCACAATAATAATGCAGGTTTCTCTGTGTGGGCTGCTCGTGGGTGTATAATGGGATGGGTGCGTCACTCCACTGTGATTGGCCAAGGCTGCAACTGCTAGCTTTCAGATTCTGATTGTTCATTGCTTTAGGCAGGCCTTGCATTAACAATTTACCCATGAAAGTATTCAAGGACATGACCCTCTAGAAAAAGTTCTGTTGATTTCGGCGCAGCTAGATTTCGTAAGCCAATTTTCAGCTGAGTGCCTGTCAATAGTGTAGGATTCTGCACAAATTGCTGACCAAATCTATAACAAGAATCCATAATCCATCCAGAGAAAAGCCTACAAATAAAAGAAGCTGTCATTATCTAGTATGGTACTTGAACAGTCTTTCAACTGAAAAATACCAGTAAATGGTTGTATGGTTTTTTGTGTGTGTACAAAAACTCAATATAATGATAATTTTAAGCATTTGTTCACACATTTCGCTTTACTTATTTATCCAAAATATCCTTTTTAATAGCTTGTAAGGTGTAAACCACTGGAAAGTTTAAAAGGTACCGGTATTTCATCACCATTTTCTACTTTTTTTTCCGCAGAAATCATACACAGGTGTAAGTGTTTACGACTCCTGAAACTTGTCAATAATTTCGGACATACTTATTTCCATAAACTTACACCCTTGGCATTTTTAGATGAAAGGGTGTCAATTGCAGTTGAACAATTTTTTAAATCACTCTGTTTCGTGTTCCATTTTCATACACAACAATCAATCGGTGAACAAGACGAACTTTTGTTTCACATACTCCATAAATGGCAAAGTAACTGATTGCTTTGATACCAAAGCAACAAATCATTTCCTTGTTGTGACATACGGGGAACTGTAGGGTTTGACAAATTAAAGTGGACCCAAACAACTAAACATTTACAATGTATAAGGACATCCAAATGAATCCATTTAATTATAAAAGCAACACAAATATGCACAGATGTTTCAGGACTAACATATTTGTGCAATGTATGTCTCAGGGTATAACATGTCAATGTTATAGAGTACACCCCAGGGGATGTACTGTGCGCACGTGTCCATTCCATGCACCACTTGGTCAGCACGTACATGTACATGTACATGTACATGTAGCGGTACCCATACATGTAGTCATTACATGTATAGCAAAGAATGGTCAAGGGCTTGTGGCCAGTTGTGGGAGGGCAGTCTAGTTGCTTTGGACTGACACACAGGAAGTTTGAAGGGTAAAAAAAGAACACTCAGGTTGCTCATTAGGTCAGTTTATGCTACAGGTCCACCACTATCACGCCACACATTACCTGCTGCACTTCATGCAAAAGTCAGTTATAAAACACTGCTTACTCTTACTCGAGAACAAGTTTCTCCATACATTTTTCATTGAAGCAAAAAATGTGTATTTTTCTTGCCAATTCAAAAGTGATATCCGCTGTCAGTCTCTTTTTATTATTGTTACTGTGAACTTTTGGACAAGTATTCTGAGCTACGGTAATTTCTAAGATTACACTGAAGAATGATGGGGTGAATTTGCTTTCTTTGGTGGTAAACTGTATACACAATACCTGCAAAAATCCTTATCATCTGATTGGTGGATCGTTGATCGCTTGTCACTGACTTATTCATTCTATTTAATAGTACCCGTTGAATAGAACTTCATTCCACTTTACTGGTCCCTCCCCTTTCATATTTCATTCCCAAATGGAAAGTGGAAAATATCCTGGATGGGAACCAGTCCAACATTGTGCAGTACTAACTCAGTAGGTGGCGTTTCGGACAAGAATCTGTTTTGCCAGATAGAGGATGTCACTGAGCGAGGACCATACATGATACTAAGAAGAGGATTTATGCAGGCAGCATGTTCTTCATAAAATGGACCAAAATGCAACTCTGCATGTCATTTTTCAAAACTTCTAAAAGAGTGACTTTGATCATGTAAACTAAAAATTAGCGACTTCAGTTTCATAAAAATGATTTTTGGGGATAATTAGGCATAATGTGTGGAGTTGAATTTATTTAAAGTTTTACATCAAAGTGTTTGTACCAGAGGACTTGATTTCAAAACTTCTCTCAACAAGGAGAATTCAGTATACTTTTCAACTGGTGTACACTGTATTTGAAAGCACCTAAACAAATATTTTAAACAATATGAGCCATGAAAAAAAACGCATAAAATTGACGGAAAATGATGAGAAAGGTTTAGCTCTCTTCATTCTCTTACCGTTTATATTCACTCTCTCTATACCAGGATATCTACCGGGTCTTATACCTTTCAACCACCGAAAACGCATGTAATCTTTAAGTTTGGCTGCATGTTCGTTGCAAATGTCATATTTGATGGAACTTTGATGTCGTTCGAGAATTTTGACGGAAATGTATGCTGTTCGACAATGCCAAAAATGCTGTCACATGTTCTTAAAAATTCCATGCGCAATGTTCATTTTGCCGCTTATTTTGGAGATATCCCCGCTGAAAATTAAATAAAAATTAACAACTCTGAGCATTAGACTTTCATCATGAATCATATTTTATATCTCGGACGTCATTTTTTTACAATCGTCACTCAGTTTGACAGATTTTCTTTGAGAAACCTTGGTACGAGGAGAAGAATCCTGGAGTGTCGCCATTCCCTGGGAGGCTCATGAATATCGAATGAAAAAGAGGCCGCACTATCTGGGTTGATGTCAAAGTTCAAACAGTCCATCATGGAGCAAAATGTTTCTCTAACATCACCGTGAGATATTGACGGATGCCGCAAAATCACCATGATCGGTATTTTGGACTGTGGTTTTCGTAAATGTACCTGCAGAAAATGTGATCGGTCCAGTCGTAAAAAGGATGATGGTTTCGGGTGCTTTTTTACACTTGTTTTAAAGCTTGTGTCGTTTTTTATTTTACTCGCTGTTGCTGCAGTTGATTTTTTGACATAATCGAATGACGTTCGTGACTGCCGACTTTGAGACCTGATTACTTGTGATATTTTTTTTAATTTTGTGATGTAAATATTATCACCTTTCACCACACACAAATCTGTGTAAAATAACCGCAGGGATTATTACTTCCCGGTAACTTTTATTCGTCTAGGATTTCTACAGGTTGTTCATGTCCGTCAAAAATGCTGATGTTTGAGACTTATCAACTCCAATTTAAGTTGAAAGATGGACACCGTCATCAGTGTTCCAGATATCAGCCATGACATCAGACATTGGGAATTTATTCACTGCTGTTCACTTCAGGAAAAATGAACCCCAAAGTTGAACATTATCTAATGGTCCATATTTCGCGGAACCTGCCAGGCAAACAAATAATTAAATTTTCATATTTGTGCTGTGGTTGAATTTCATTTGGTGAAAGCTGAAATGTTGCTTGTCCAGTGAGTTTTCACAGAGATACCACAGTTTGACTGTCAAAATGTTTTTAAAAAATCACACACCTCTAAATGCAAGTTACTGGTACATTACAAAGGAAAGAAACAAAATGATTGCATTCCCAATACATAAATGTATAGTTGAAATCTTAAAGACCTGCTGTTGGTGTCATTTTAAAGCACTTTCAATCACGTACACTTACATGTGCCAGATTTTACCCATGTCATACATGTATGTGTACGCATATGTTGGGTGTGATTGTGATCTTTGTGCATGATTTGCTGATGATTCTGCCACCAGATAATTGCCTTTTCATTCTTATTCACTATTGTGGAAGACTGATTTGAAGAGGAGAAGTACCGGTAAATTGGAGATTTTACTTGTCGGATAGACTGTTTGTGCAGCAGAATCATGCTGATTGACCAATCGTGCCAAACATATGCATCTCTGCAAGACCTTTAACCCTTTTAATTATGGCCCAAGCTATAAGTTTAAAATTCCCTTCAGATATGGAGCATAAATTTCAAGGCTGGCAAACCCAACAGTTCAAAATAGCAATTTGTGTAGGGAAAAAAAATCTAGGATAAAAGAAAAAATTCACATCAATTTACTTAGTAAAGTTAAGAGTTGAAATGACTCAAGTCAATGACTCGACTTAAGTCTGATTCAAGTCACAATTTCTGGCGACTTAACTGGAGTTGTAATGGGTAATGGCTCAATTCGACTTGAGTCACTGCAAGCAAATGACTTGACTCCAGTCCCTCTTCAGAAGACTGGACTCACGTAAAAGCTATGAAGTAAGTACTGATAAAGAACACAGCTCTGCAAGGAAAAGTTGGAATGACTAACCGTGGTGGTGGTTTATCATGGTCACGTCATGTACCTAATACGGTATCTTACATTCAGCAGCCACCCTTGTCCTTCCTCCGGCCTCCATCTTGTCATTCTGTAGTGCTATCCCGGAACCACACATGTACACGTACATGTCACATGGTCAGTTCTTAGTTTCATCATCACAGTGTCTTACTGATTTCTTTTTACGTAAGGCTCTTGTCATGCTTGGCAGAATGCCAGCTACATTTATGCCCTGATTTCACAAATACAAAAAAGCCCACATTTACATAAGCCTAATAAGAAAGAGAATGTAATGACATGTAGGTTTGGGAGTTGTTGTGGATTAAATTTGCCTCTTTCACTGGATGACAGGCAATGGCACCTTTTTTCCATTTTCACGAAGAGTAAATGTCATCAAGTGGGCCCCCTAGCTCTCAAATTAATAAAAGGCCAAAGAATTTCTCGTGTTCATTTGTTGTATTGTGTTCCATTATTTGTGATTCTAATTAACTCGACTCGATTACACACTGTGACTCAACCTGGCTCACAAAATTTAGTAGCTCGTTACAACTTTACATGTTACAACTCCGCGTTTGTTAGAATCCCTTTGCGTTCAGGCTTGACAATGATGGTAAAAGTAGTAGTACTACACTAGTAAACATCCTTTCAAAATAAGAGATTTGCGATGTCATTTCGCCAGATAAATTTGACACTATTTGTGACATGCATAATATACATGTAACGTCAGAAGTTAAATGTCGAACATTATGTCCCGCGCTGGCAACATGCCGACACATTTCTCATGTTTCTCAGAACGTACATGTAACTTCAACCACCATGATGAACTGACGAGTGCTGTGACTGTGAATAGTTCCTTCCTCCGTGCTTCAACCATGTCAACTTACCACAACTGACAAGGTGATCGATCGCCGGCGATTGGAATGTAGCACAGGCTCACATCAACTTTTGGAATCGTGGTTTTAACCTGTTGCAGCCCAAAATGATGTTGTTTTCCTGCAGATCGTCGAAGAGGCAGTAAGGATGACCTTGAGCGTTCCTCCTTAGTACGTGCGCATGCAATGACCGGTTAAAGGTTAAATTCTAGTCGCAGGTATACAATTACATCACGAATTGTCGGAATCGGGTATTTTGCGTCTACGGCTGCGGCATTTTGCCCTAAGCTTACAACGGTTGATAGCCGAAGCCAAAAAACAACAGTCGCCACTGCCACGATCGTGGCCGCGCACGTGCCAACGAGACGTGACGTCACGAGCGTCATCGACACCGGTAATACATCCGGGCTCCGGACTCACTTCCTACATTTTTCTTGCACTTTGTACGTGAGAAGAAACCAGGACGTTCACGGAACCAGATTATTCCCAGCGTGTGTTGATCGTTAGGAGCCTTTTGATTGGTCAATCAGGACAACGCCCACAAAATTGCATCATCTCCCTCCCACGCGGCCGCCGTGTCTGATTTGCAATGTAGTTTGTGAAGTATAAAGAGGCCGGTCGGTCCGTGTACGTTTCGTTCATCCGTTTTCCGATTCGCAAACGAATATCAAATAACCAAAAACAAGTTGTTCTCCGTTTTTCGATTTGAAAACGAAAATGAGGGAAAAGATGCAGAAGTGGTTTCTTGCTTTTCCTGTTGAAAACAGAGTAATCTTTTTTAAATTTTAATTCCAATTTAGTTCGACTGCGCACGTAATTTTGAGGAGGTGTCACGGACGTCTCCGAACACTTCTCAAGGTGAAAGTTGCCTTTGAGCATGTGAAAAATTTCCTTGCGAGTTGCTTCTTCCTTGTATTCCTCTAATTCAGCCATGTTTGATTTGACGGGTTACAACTACGTTTAATACACTACACAATGAAAAACAGAACTGTTTTTATTCTCCATATTGGAGGGTCCGTGTACGTTTCGTTCATTCGTTTTTCGATTTGAAAACAAAAATCAAACAACCAAAAAACCAGTTGTTTTGCGTTCTTATATAGGAAAACGAAAATAACAAAACAAGTCGTCTCTCATTTTTCGATTTGAAAAACAAAAAAAAATGCAAATCGGAAAAGAACTTGCTTATCGTTTTGTTGGTTTAAAAACAAAATGGGAAAACAGATAAACAAGTCGTTTCTCATCTTGCAAGTTAAAATTAAAAACGACAATCACATCAGTTTTTCGATTTTCAGTATGAAAATTAATAACATCGTAGTCTGTTGATCCACAGTTTGAAGAATGAAAATTAGTTCAATTTTCATTTTGTAATGTGAGAAACGTCTTTGTAACCAACCAAATCAAACATGGCTGAACTAGAAAAAATACAATTTAAAGGAACCCGTTGCTTCTGAAAGTAAAAGGGGCAGCTCACAAGGAAATTTTCGCATTCTGGAAGGCAACATTCATCCTGAGAAGCGTTTAGAGATATCCGTGACGCCTCCTCGAATATACAAGTGCAGGCAAATGAAATGAGGATTAAATTTGAATTTAAAACAAGATTACTTTCGTGTTTCATTTTCAACATTGGAAACAAGAAAAAGCTTCTTCGTCTTTTTCCTTGGTTTTCTTTTTTCTCGTTGAAACAAAAAGGGAATGTTTTTGTTTTGCATGTTTCACTTTTCATTTTCGGGTTGGGAGGGGGTGTTATTTTCGTTTTCAAACGAATGAACGAAATGTACACGGACCCTCGTCCAGGTCCATGGTAAAGCAGAATACTCGCCCCAAACAACAGAAGTAGCGCCTTCCGGCTACCATCGATAACAGAGGGCGCACTTTAAAAAAAAAGGGTAAGATATTGAGGGGGGAGGACGAAAGCCCTGGAGTGCCATCGGGTGTAGACTTTCAAAAAAGTGAAGGATTTTGTTTGATGTTCGTTTTATGAACTTCGTGTTTACTAGAATTATTTTTTTCGAAAATCCGTTGGAGACTCCGATTAGTATAGTCAGAATGGGCTGTTAAGTCAGAACTGTCGTTTCATTTCTAAAAAATTAAGCCAGTAATAAATAAAGACAAGAAAGTCGTATATATTAACCCCAGAATTATATTGCTCGATACTTCTTGTACGGAAGTGTACAAGGGCCAACTGCAAAATTTTTAGTTCGACTTACTATCTCGCCGCGGCGAGTTATGTCACGTCTATCTTGCCGAGGCGAGTTTTACGATCTTGCCGCGGTTTCAAATGGATATTTCGCCGCGGCCAATATTTCAGTAGTATCATAAATCCTATTATGTATTATCAGGGTGGAATGCAGTGAGACTGGGTCTCAGATTGCTTCGAACAAAAGGAGATTTTTATTTCAACAAAGTTTGATTTCCGACACAAAAACTAAAAGAAATCTCATTTGGGGAGTGAATTGTCATCTTCGCAAGTGGGGTATTCTATTTTTTCCCCAGTTGGACTGCCCGTTGAAAGGATAACCGTGCCTTTTCATTACACTTATGATCTCATTTACACTAATTTTATGAAAATCAGACATAACGTTCTCGCGAAACGCACCGCATTTTCCAAGACAAGTCCGCGTATAGCCAATGTCAAGTTTTCCCACTGACTGAGGCCATGAATCACAGTTGTAACAAAACCCTCTGTCGGAAAGCTAAAACTTTTTGGATGTGGGAATATATTTTAAATCTATAATAGGCCCTAATTGTCTTGGTATGAGTGCCTTTATATCATGGGCGTAAATTCCGGGGGATGGGGGTATATACCCCCAGTTTTGAAAGGGTGGGCTATTGAATCATCCCCTCTTCCCACTTGTTTTGTGGTGAACAAAAAAATAAAGGGGATTGTGAAGAATTTTCAAGATATCCGACAACTAAAATGTTTGTAGCAGCACTAAAAATGGAAAAACAATTATAAAAAGCCATAGATATGCCATACTGATGTTTGCATGAATTTGTATTACATTACAGACGTACATCTTCATCGTGAACATCGCCCCCATATTGTGTCCCCCGCCTCCCCCCCTCTTTTCAAATTTCCATGGTCGTGCAAGTCCTCCCCCCACCCCCAATTGCCGACAAAGATTTACGCATGCATGTCAGGTTCTAAAAAGATCGAATATGGGACAACTGAGAATACGAATACGAATGACAAAAACGCTGCCCACCTTTGTTCCATGTAAACCTTGGTGGCTCGGCGCCTTTGTGAAGGGCTGGGTAAGGTTTGGCTCTTTGAAGGGAAGATGAGCCCAGTCGTCAAGGCGGGATGGAATAACAGCTAGGCGTTTTGTTGTTTTCACGTATGCGATTTTGGCGGGCAATTAAGAGAGGCTTTCTTAGGGATCAAGAAAAATGAAACTTTCTCCCAAGCCGAATTCGACACTCGACGGTCACGTAGTTGCATCAGTAGTTGCGATCCGTAATTAAATTATGATTGCACGCGTTTGCGTGTGACGTGTATGATGGCCATAGAGGGACATCGCCAATCGTCAATATTGACATCAATATTCACGACCAAAGGCTCTCCGTTCGCGAATATTGCTGTGAATATTTATGATCAAAATTCACGACTCGCTCTTCAGTCGCAAATTGGCGTTAATATTCACGACTGAAGAGTGGGTCGTAAGTTTGGTCGCAAATATTGGCGTCCTTGCAATATGGACATTGGCGACGTCCCTCCAGGGCCATCATAAACATGTTACCTGGCGGCCATTTGACTCTGAAGTTCGCGCTCGCACTAACGCATCTTTTTCGTTTGTTTTTTGTTATGATAATTAGGGGGCCACCAATTTTCAAGGGGAAAAGTAAATGAATAGAATGAAAAACTTGATGAAAATACCTCTCTCTCTGGCAAAAATGGGACAGGTGTGCATTTTGATGCAAAAGCTGTTGCAGGGTAACGTTGACTTTCTGCAGACTTTGGCAAAAAGTGTTGACGTTTAAAAGTCTTTTAATGACCACTCTGGTGACACTTTATTAACGCGTTGTGGTGTTAATAATCCCAAGCTAAGCACAATTCGAACAAAAAGAGAATCTATTCAACTGCTTGACAATTGACCCCGGAGAAAAAGCACGGCACGTTCACGCCATACCGTCGTGTTTTCGAGTTCTGACCCACATGTGGTATCAAGGCAAAGATGTCATCTGTTTGTACACCATGAGATGAAAATAATGGAAATCTCTTGCGCACAGCGCCATTTCCTTCCTACACCGGAGTCCATGATTATTCCACGACCTGCTGTAGTTGTCACAGAGAGATACTGCGGGAAATAGGCAGTATATGTCTTTAATTAACTGCGCCATTCTGTAACCCCCGAAAAGTGAGGAAATAATATTGGCCAATTCACCAATAAAGCTGAAGTTTATGAACTAAACTCAGTACAATCTATAGTATTGATTTTGACGTAAACTGTCATGATATTATCACTCATTTACAATTGGAAAAATTTCGTGCATACATCAAACAACAGCCATAACCCCCTTTTTGATTAACGATTGTGTATTGTTACAACAACTCAATGCTCAAAATTCTAGATGAGGTGTCGCTACAGTTCTGCATGTGAAAAGAAGAATCCGTGACTATCGTTTGTTTTGTCGTTTCACTACGAATGTCGGAGGCTGTTTGGGGATAGGGGATTATCCTGTCGTCTGTGGTGAAGTCAGAGTTCATGGCAACAAAGGGATCGGGTGGGTTGTCGCTGAGGTTGCGCCTGGCCCGCTCAGACAAACGCTTCCAATACCGGCAGGGAAAGGCGGACGAGAGGAGCCTGATAAACGCCCAGCGGAACTCTCTACTTCGGCAAGCGTAGGTTACGGGATTCATGGCGGAGTTACTGAAGACGAGATGGAAGAAGACGAGCTCGAGGACGAAGAGGTCCTTCTTGGGGATCAATAAAAAGGTATCGCCTACGGTGATCAGAATGGCTGGGGAGAATGCCAGCACGAACATCCCCAGCACGAGAGCTACCGTCTTCGCCGCTTTGATTTCTAGCATGGCGGGCTGGGGATGGCCCCCTTGTAGGACGTTGGACTCTGCCGCAATCCGCCGATAGTGTTGACGGGCCACTATGTAGATCCTCAGGTTGAAGAAAGCCATGAATGCCAAGGGGGTAAACGTCAAGACAACGGTAGCTACGCATCGGTAACTGAAGGGATGGATGAAAAGCATGTCGCAGTACCCCATGTCATATATGTCGAGCTGATTCCAACCAAAGAAGGGGAGTAAGTTGTAAATGATTGCCACTGTCCAGGACGCGAAGATCAGGTAGCGCATCCGTCGTGGTGTCATCTGGGTGTAGTAGCGGAGCGGCTTGGTGACGGCCATGTAGCGGTCGTAGGCCACTACGGCTAAGTGGTTAACAGACACGCTAAAGGACAAGCAGGTCAGCGAGCTGCCGACGAGGCACAGCCACGGGGAGACATCACCCGCCACGCCCAGGCTGAAGATGATGTCGCATGGCAGACAGACGAAAGCCACGAAGAGATCAGCCACAGCCAGGCTGGCCAGGAACACGTTGGTCGGGGAGCGCATCTTGGGGAACGACATCACCGACATCACGACCAACGTGTTGCCGACGATGATGCCCACGAAGATCAAAGCATCGAACGCGACAAATCCAATGAACTGCTCCAGAGTCACAGAACAGCACGGCTCTACCGTTGCGACCAAATCGGAGGAATTGCTCTTCATGCCTGTTGTTAAACAAGCAGAATATTCTTACATGCATAAAGTCGATCCAAAAATTCCATTTCTTAAAGAGGATGGTTCTTCCCGAGAAAACATACGTATCTGATGTACCTTTTTCTCATCAGTTCAATGAAGCTGCCAACGTGCAGTGGGAATTCGAACGAGGAGAATTGCTAAACCAACCGAACGAATGCCGATCTATATAAGTGCAGTCAACTACGGTTGTTTATGATAAATCGCTAACTGAAAAATCCATAGTTGTCAAGTATTAAACTCGCTGGTATCTACTGATGACGCACGCAATGGAAATCCATCAACATGATTCGGCAAATGCTTACCCTGTCATGCGCTATAGTTGCTGGGAAATTTGGTAGGGACATAAAGATCGTAAGCTTTCTTTGAGGAAAAATATTTGTTTGTTGGCTTGGGCATGAAATAATATTGCTATAGTTATGCGAACTGGTGCTCGCTTCATCAAAAGATAAGACGGTGAAAAGGGTACCGCTTTTCTCGCGGTCTGTTTTGTTAAAATGATGCTGAAAGTTAATTCTTAAACTTCAACTTGGATGGCAGACACACAAGCATTATATAATAAACAGCAGTGACGATAGTTGACTTGAAAGGAACGTAATTTAATAGACTCTTTTTGAATCAATAAACATGGAGACGGCATGTGCGACTTTAAATCTGAGCAACTGAAATATCTCACTTAATAAGCGAGGCGGCATCGATGGCACGATTGCATTACGTGACACATGGATTATGTGGTAGAGAGCAGATCAGGACAGATACCCGGGCAAAAGAGGAGCATACAGTGGAGATGAGACGAAAGCTGCCAAAATGAATATATTTTGTTTACCCCAACCGTCACTCAAGTGCAAACACAGTCACCAAGTTTGTCCATTTTTTAGTATAACGACAATGACGCATGAGTTTAAATAAACCTAAAAAGACCAGTACGCAGCTCTTTAACCTCTACTCCAGAGTGCGTCCCCCCACACAAATTTCTTTGCTTTGACAAGTTTACTTGTCTTTCACCACTTCCACCCATCACATTGAAAGTGTGACATCACATGCTCTGGCCAAACTTGCCTATAACTCACTTCTCCATGGTGACGTGCCTGTAAATTGGGCATGCAGGTGATGGGGTCTTGGTCTCCCCGGCCCCCAACGCTGCTCGCATGTGGCGCGGCAAAATTGATTTATCGATTCCCGTCCTGTGTACACTTGTGGACGAACATTAATAGTTTATCGTGTAACGGAGCAAGGAGACAAAGGCGTTTATTATAACGGGACAATGTGTAAACAGCAGCCAGTGTGGGTTATAAAACCGACAGTATGAAACTTTGGCAGTCCTGGCAACCGGGCATTTTAGGGACATGGGATTGTCTCTTATGATGAGTTAATTCGGAGGATGTGAGTTATCTTTTAAGTCAGCAGATATGATGGCTACATGTATGGACCTCCAGATGCAAAGGCCAAGTCGTTTGTAGTTGTGGGACTCAAAGTGGATCGTGTGTCGGCATTTTGTACCCGGGCCTACATGTGCGCTTATCGATTGAAGGTGATCACCTATTCTCAAGCTGTGAGGTACGTGCACTGTTGGAGCCAAGTGCCTCCAAACCGACCACTGACGTCGTACGTAGTTGAAAGGTATGCAGTTTTTCCAACCTTGCTGTGGGTGGACGTGAGTAAATGTATAATTCTGCAACGCAAATCTTTACGATGATACACACAGGCTTAACATTAATTTGGAACCATCTTTTTACAGTAGATTCTTTAGAGGTTGAAGATATCTTGGGAAAAAAATCGCCATAACTGAAAAAAAAAACACACAACACAAAACAAACAAACTCAAGACAGCCTTCAAGTTGATGGATTTTTGTTGTCTTTGATACAGGTACGAGGGACCTGACAACAATGCTTTGACAAGGAGTATACCTGATAGACATTACAGCGCCGAAAGAAACCATCACGTGGGTTATCTCTCCGGCTCTCACGACAAAAATAATTACATGCATTTCAGGATTTGGTTCTTCTTGCTGAGTGACACTAAGCGGAAACGACGATGTCGATTATCATACCAAAAAGTGCTCAAAGATGGCCGGTGGAACCAGAGCAGAAAGGCGACGGCAAGAAAAAGGATGACAAGAAGAAAATGAAACAGAGCAAGGCGTACAGCTCAGCCAAGACGCTGAACGACCGAGAGCAGCGACGGCTGGCCCTGACCCTGGACGTCTTCAAGAAAGACCTCCGAGCCGCAAACCATCTGGTCAGCCTGGAGCAGAAGCAGCTTCGGCGGGAGCTACAGACCATCAACCCAGATATCAAGATGGACCCAGCTCGAGGGTTCTTCGTGCCCCAGGGAGTGACCCAGGAGCAGGCCGAGATGCTGAAGGACAACAGGCGGGCCAGCGTGCCCGCGGCCACCCGCAGCATCTCGCTGGCCGAGTTCGACGAGATGCGGCAGAAGCGGAGCCAGCGCTCCCGGGAAGCCTTCGAGAGCTCCCGGGTGGTGGGCCCGGCGAGCCAGGCCCAGGGAGACGGGGATGACACAGAAGACGGGATGTTGAATAGGGCGAGGAGGAGAGGCCGGAGGGGTGCCGTGCAAATGCAGAACAAACCGGCCGCCTTCACGTCCATGGCTCGTGTGAGCGTTAACGCATTCGGCAGCGGAAACCAAGCCTCCCCGAGACAGGAAGCGTCTTCGTTGAGGAAACTAAACAAGAAACCTTAAAACCAATGTCCACTGTGAAACCAGCCTGCTACCCCAATTTACAGGTCCCTTAACATTGGTTAATGTTAACACGAGAATTCCACGATTAAATACTTGCCAGGAAAACTTCATGTTGCCTAAACAACCAAAGAACAGAGCTGAAGTAAGAAGCTAAATTCTAGTTACATTGCTAGAGTCGCAAGCTCAATTCATCTGCTAGAGCTTGAAGTTCCATATTTTAGCAAGCAGCATTAACTTTATGTCCAACGTAAGTTCTCTGTAGAATTTACAAATAAACACGATGAATTTTTTGTTCGCTGCTTCCAACATGTACCATATACGCTTTTAACTCGAAAGCAAACATCAACTAGATATAGATGTTTGCCCAGTTGAGCCACCTGTCCAGCAATTTGAAAACAAAAGTTATCGAAACTAGTATTATTGCCACAATGACAAGAGGCCTGGATAGCTGTTGACCGAATTCGAAACTAGATGGAGTAGACATTCCTGCTGGCGTCCGTTTGTGTGGAGGGAAAATTTCCTGTTGGTTAACAACTTGAAATGGTGTGGATGAAATCCCCTCCCCTAACTTATGACAGGCTTCCTGTTCTGACAGTTTCTGATGGGTACGATATCCACTCCCCTCCCCGTTGAACGCCACTCCAATTTCCGATAAATGTCATGTCCCTTTAATAGGCTGAATAGTGGCTGCAACACCGTCAGGGCTTTGACATGTTATTTTTTCACCGCTTCGCGTCTTTGTTTCAATTCTCGATCCATTTGGGTTAGTGAAATCTTCAAAAATTCTTTTCAAATTTTTATCACTTTTTGACAGATCTGCCTCATAAATTATTGTTTAATCCTGTAGTTGGCACATTCGTTACTGGGAAATCAACAGGTGTTGTAAAATGCACGGCAAAAAAGAATTCTGCACGGAAAGCTGTCACTGGGGATTAATGACCGGGCTCTCTCACAGTTATCAGTATGCCATTCATTATGTCCTAAACACGTGTTTTTAAGAACTTGGTGGTCGCTGGAGTGTCTGCATTTTTTTTAAGAAGCCACAATGATGATTTTTTATCACTTGGCACTGTTTTGGTGTAAAGTTTACCCAGCACATTTTACCTAACGGTTGGGGCCCGACATCCAAGGCAATGTTACTGGTTACAAAGGTCGAACTGCTCAATACCAGAACTCACCAAACAACACATTCCATAAAAGCAAACTGGTCTGGTGTTACAAGTGAACCCGTAAATAAATGAAATAAAAATATATTAAAAAAACTCACTGTACCGAATTATTCATGGGAAAACCAAGTCTCTGAGATTTTAATGTTTCCAACCAAAATATACATACATAACATATAATTAAATCTACTATTTACATTTTCCATCTTCTAAAATAACATAAGCCTAGCTATACGTTTTAGTACAGGATTGCCCTGGTTCCAAGGATCCCCTGATGTTCAGACCAAAAAACGGCCAAACCTGAATACTTTCTGTAAAAACTGCCAACTTCAGAACACATCCAACTGAATCTCGTGAAGACTTTTGCACACACTTAAGAAAGCAACTTGTATCACAAAAATAAAATAAAAAATACAGTACGTATCATGTTTACTTTCGGCATTGTTAATAGTACAGTTTCCAGATCTGTTTTCAGCTGTTCAGTTAATAGAGAGTGGTTAAGGTAGGCTCTTTATTTCCCAAGGGGGTCATTCACAAATAGGTCACACACAAACTATACTTGTGATTCAATGATGTGTGTGGACTTTTAAAGTAAGGCTTTTGGCACCAAATGTACTGCCATGGTCTATGGACTTCATTTGCACAGCAAACGAGCTCCATCAAAACCCTGGTGTTTCCCTGCGTTAACGCGTCCATTCCTAATCCCAGGTTCAAGTTCAGCCCAGGTCAAACGGTGTAGATAGGGTTTGTCCTCACTGGCATCTGCCCCTCACGCATGCATAGCACTGGAGCATTTTCCTTAATTTCCACATCTGAACATTCCTTTGTCGTCATTCTTAACAGGCTCAAGACACTCGAATCCTTGGTTCCAATAATAGGAAGAATTCAGTAAAAAAAACTCTGTCTTCATTTCAAAATTCCTCCATCAGCTCCCCTTCATCCAGATTGGCCGTCCATTCCACGAGGTCGTCCACCTCTTTCTCCCAAGGGTCACCCGTATCACTCTGGGCAGTTGAGGGTGGAGGCACTGTGTTCAAGATTAAAAAACGAATCGGGAATCAGATGTTGAAGTCCAATTGCATGTTCACACGCTCGCTGTGGATAAGTTTGGGTATTTGTTAACAGACTTGCGATATTCCTTGACATATCTGCTGTCAAGAGGCAATTAAATACTGCAAATTAACCAAAGAAAGTGCACAACGGTTCAAGAACAGGTGCATGATTTGACTTCATCAAAGTATGGAATGGTGAATAAAGTTATTCCTGGTGCAAAGAAAGTTACTGGCCAATGTCCACTACTAATGCTAGCAACACAAGACTACAGCAAACAGAGCCATGAAAAGAATACTTTATTGACACCTCAGCAAATGGACCGAACAGCACCATTAACAGTTCGTCTTCATAGTCTCTGTAACTGTGTTATATTTTCCTGATCAAGCATTCTGCAGAGTGGTCTTTGCAGAGCTTATAATCAGGGTGAGATTGACCACTGATAAAACTGGCTGAAACAGCTGACAAAAGGCATTAAGAAGCTGAACTGTGAAAATCTCCTGTACTTTTGTACACAGCCAGTGAAGAAATAAAAGCTGAAATCAAAACAAAACAAAAAGCTAAAATCTGCTAAAACGTTGGGAAATCTCACCCTTGTCATAATCCTGTATCATATATTCCCCTGAGCTAGCCTTTGGCAGAGGAGAGTCTATATGGAGTTTATTAAACCGTCATTATTATATTTTTTTCCCTGAAAGAATCCTCTACAGAGAAGTCTACACACCAGCGTCACACTATTTTTCTTAGATCTAGCCCTCTTCAGGTCATGTACAGCCGATAAACCTGCATCATATTCTGTTGCACTGATGTAGCCCTCAACAGGTCATGCACAAATTCTACCGACCTACGTCATATTTATATTTCCTAGAACCAGCCCGCTACAGATCACCATGGAGTCTGAAAATCTATGCCATATCATCTTTCCCTGACTTTGCCCCTACATTCCCAGGTTCCATGCAGTAAATTTCTGGCCGACCTATTTTCCGGGAGGGCAGGTATATCTTCCGCATCTTGTTGATGTGGTCCAGCTTTCTCTCCTGAGAATCTGCCTTGTTGGGCTTGGCGGCAAAGTTGCCATACATCAAGGAATTGTGCCTGCCAACAAAACAAAGACACAAACGTTCACAATTATGGTAAAAAAAAAAGATAAAGTACGGTTTTGGAAAGGAGTTGAGTTGAACAAATGTCTCCCTCTTGTGTAACCTTTCCACGACAGTTTGGCAAACAACTATCGATTAAAAATTCCTCTGCCAACCACCTCAACGCCCTGGCCCCCAGGGGAGTTTTCCTACAAATGCAAGTTTTAGGAACTGAGTTCAGATTCTAGGCTCGAGTGCAGTAAATTTCCGGATTTAAATCTCACGATGACTTACAAATACAGTGCCCCTTGCGATCAGGGGTGAGATTAGAGGAAAATGAAATATCCACAACATAATCACTAGAGGTTTTGAGTGCTCCACATTGGCATGGGATCTCTGGTGCACATTTCTCATTGCCTAAAGGTACCCCTTAAAACACCCATTTTTGTTCTGTTATATATCAACTTTTATACATGAAAATGCCTAAATGGTAATTTCAGGATTTTTCCAAATTTTAAAAGAGATCGCTTCAAAATGCTTGATGAAAAAATCTTGATTATTAGGAAAAGTCTGGACAAATCTTACCCCCCCGGGATGATTGTAAACCTTCTTACATGTATTTATCTTTACTTACTCCTGTAGTTGTTTCTTCATGTGTTGCTGTAGTTCCTCCAGGGGAAGACCGAAATGAGCCGTTTGCAGCTTGGGGTCATCCTTGATTGCTTCTAATACTGAGACAATAAACAAATCAAGAAAAATTGAACTACTATGGGTGAAAATATACAAATGCCAATCTTTGGGCGTGTTTGGTTAGCTTACAAGGGGGGAACCCTGACCTGTTGTGTGCTGTGTCAAGCAAGTGAGACTGCGGAGATGAGGGTGAATCCAGGTTGACAAGTGGGAGCTAATTGAATGCACCCATAGAGACTGGAAACTTTAACCAAGGTTTCACTGTAGAGGATTTGACTGGACCAGATTACACCAGACAATAGTCAATAATGGCCAAGTTCGAAAAGCAACTATTTTGACAGCCACTAGTCACTTTCTCTGGTAACCTACACAACCAAATACATCCTGGGTACCAGACAAATCAATAGCCAGTGGTTGACTAATTATTCCTGATCAAACTAGTGCTAAAATGTCCTGTACATTGCAGAGCCTAACTAGACTACACAACACTATGAATGCATTTCGCCGAATGGCTGAAACTTTGCTAACATTTGTGATCTTTGTATCCATATGGAAAATTGCTCGACATCTCTGGTAGTGTTTATGAGAGTGATTCACATTCTGGATTACAGTGGGGCAAATTTCTCAGATCTGCTGGACTGCTTTTGCACCACGACAAAATGAGCAAAACCTATGAGCTCAGGCTTTCTGATGTATCATTGCTCATGTTAAACACCGGCCAACTCACATGGATTTCTCATGTTGGGCTCCGCTTTGCTGGTTGCAATGCCATTCCACGTTGTCAGGTAATCATCAAAGGACACCTTCACTTGGCTTGCCTGGCTGGACTTGGGCCGATCAGCTAGCTGGTTCTCCTCCCCCTCCTCAAAGCGGACTTTTGCATCCTCGACCTGAAGGCTCTGCCCAGCTGCCGAAAAATAAGAACACAGGTGTTTTACAGACCGCTCAGATATACATTCTCTGATTGATTGACTGTACTGCTAAATCATGTTGTGAACAATGACAAGGCAGCCTATATGTCAGTATACAAATATAATATGGCTTAAGGGTGGATAGTGGATTTTAGCTTCTCTTGGTAAAGTTATGTATGAAACCAGTTCTCTGGGCGAACCAACTGAAATATACCATCTTATATTTGTTTTACCATATCTCAGACATATTCAGTTGCCATTAAGGTTTTCTGATGCAAGGGAAAAGTGGCATGTATGTGTATCATCACCTATTAACCTCTTCATGCTGGGGCATTTTTCAATGTTGATGATGCTGGGCCGGCATGACTTTCATTTTTTCCGTTTTCAAAATCTTTCAAAAATTCATCATTTCATTTAACGGTCGTTTATAGCTGCACGAAGTAATCTTTAGGCACTACTCTAAGTTGACAGGTGG